CCTGCCCCCGGCTCCCCTCCCTTCCAAGGCCTGTCCAGAGTGGTCCACACTGGCTGTCTCCACTCCGTCCACCTCCCTGGGTTCTCTGACCAGCCCCCACAGGCCAGGCTGGCTTCCAGGCCTCCATAGCACTGTGCCCTCAGCTCGGGACCTGCCATGGCACCTGCTTCCTGGAGTCACTCTTCTGGAGGCCACGCTCTCCACCCCACTCCTCTCCAACTGTCCTCACCAGCCTCCTGGGTGGGCTCCCAGCTCATCCCTCGAGTGTCACTGTCATCGTTCTGGGCCCCCTTCTTCTTTCACGGTACCCCTGCCTGTGCCATCTTGCTATGCCCTCGACTACCCTGGACCTCGGCCTCCAGCCCGGCTGCCCTCCAGAGTTTCCACAGCTCCACCGGAAATCCCACTGACACCTCAGACTCATGTGGTCAAAATGGGACGCACGGTCTCCGCTCCCCCCACGTCCAGCTGATCCCCGCCTCAGAAGGTACTTCTGCACTCCTTCACATTTCAGGGGCACCCTGGAATCTCCCTTCTCCCCTGCCCCCACACCAATCCTGTCACTCTGACTTCCACGCATCACTTGGTCCATCCACTCCGCCTCTGTAGCCTGTCACCTGCCAAGGCCACCATCATCACCCATCAGTCTTTCCCCTCTCTCTCTCTCTCTCTCTCTCTCACACACACACACACACACACACACACACACACACACACTTTGCCCTCCTCCAAATCCATTCTCAACAGCAGCAGTGTGTTTTTAAAAATGTGAACCTGAAGGTGCAGGTGGCCACACGCATTGTCTTCACCAACAGCTGTGACTCTTCTCTAGTGTCGGTCCCAAGCTCAGTGCCTCTAGGACTCCGACTCATTACTCATCAGTCTCAAAAGGGGCTACAGCCACTGAGCCAACCACCAGCTTGCTGTCCACACCGCCCACCCCCACGCCTCCCTCTCCTTCCCCAGCTCACAGCTCACACTCTGGGTCCTCATCTCTCCCTTGCAAACACCCACAGAGCCCCAGCGCCCTCTCCTGCTGGCCATCCCTGCTGAAGGCCGCTGGCCACCCCTGCTGAAGGCCACTGCCCTGCCTGCTCTGTCACCTGGGTAGCCAGGCAGGCAGGCTACACCAGCACGTGGAGCAGTGTCATTTACATTACTGACCTTTGGCATCACAGCGCCTCAGTGCTGCTCCGCGATCCGCTACACTTCTGTAGTCCATTTGCTGTCTGTCTGTCTGCCTTCACAGGACAGCAGCTCCAGTCCCAGTGCTGTCACTAGCCTCAACCCTTTCCGGCCTCAGTTTCCCCATCTTCAGAATGGGGGTGGGGTGAGGGAGACCAGTACTATTTTTTTTTTTTTTTTTTTTTGCTATAGGAGAGATGAACTCTCCAGAGAAGGTGCAAAGTGAGAAATTGCTCCCTGGGGGGATGGCCATGCCATAATCCCTTCTCCTCCAGACTCATTTCAGGATTTTTGGGCCTGTGTGCACACGTGCCCAGCATGATTCTCAAGCCACTGGGTCCGGGACTTGAACCATGTGGCTGGCCATGTGGGATCCAGCATCTTAACCTCCACACCACCTGTTGTGCTTCTTAATCAGGGGAGAGGGGAAGGATCCTTCAGATTAACCTGGACACTTGCTTAAAATGCAGTTCCTGGGCCTCACTCCCCCAACCCCCGAGAGTAGGCACAGGGTTGGGAATTTGTACCTTGAGTCCAAGTACGGATGTGGAGTGGAATAGTAATCACTAGAGGTTGGGAAGGGGCAGGGTGGGGGAAGGGAGAGATCGGGTGACGGATATAAAATTACAGCTAGCTAGAAGGGGTAAGTTCCAGTGTTGAATACCACTAATATGTACAACGATTTGCTGTATATTTTAAGATAGCTAGCAGAGAGGATTTAGAATGTTCCTAACATACCCTGACTTGATCATTACACATGTATACATGTATCTAAAACCACACCATACCTCATAAATATGTACAATTACTTATCAAGTAGACATAGTAACAATGAGAAATACATAATAAACATTAGTTTAACTTTGGGTCCTAGGTAATGCTTGCTTTCTTACCACCCACAGTTGCACACACACACACACACACACACACACACACACACACAGTGTGTCCCAACCCCAGTAAAGCCTGCATAGACTGTCATGCGCCCAGATACTGAGATGCAGACTCAGGTTCCAGTTCTGGGTACACCCCCGACACCCTGAGGGAC